CCCCCCCCCCCTAAAACATCTTGAGAATCATTCCAAATTTTTTATACAGGGGCAACAAGCAAATACATGCACAACAAAATGCTATACTGTACTTGTAAATATATTCTGAATTGCGGATTGACATAAAACATACATGTAGACCTGGGCTAGTCGCATAATTTTGAAACAGTTACTCAGATGATATCGAGAGCCAATAATGCGTCAGTAGTAAGGTGTTCACTCATTATGTATACTGTTATCTGTAGAAACGGCCATATTGATTTGATGTCCAAAATAGATGCCTTGTTTACGCCGCTGTGGTAGACAAGTCGAAATAGACATGAGACAAATAAAAATTATAACCCGCTATTGGGCACTTAGGCAACTTATACCAGCTTTTGGTGAATTTCTGTGGCCCTTTATGATAGGCTGCAACTGAAATGTTGACATAGGCTCTCTTAAAACAGCCAAATTGATTTGATCATAGACAACGCCCAAAAACGCGTGGTTTTCACAGTCTGCTTAGCAGCTTCGTTTTTCAACCAGGAAAGCCCTAGCCTGCAAAGCTGGTGGTTTTTGGCTTGGGGCGTGGGCAATGAAAATTAGGGAGGAAAGGCAAGCGTGCCTCAACCCCAACCCCTTAAAACCACCGGCTACGCAGGCTACTCCCCCCCCCCCCCAATATTTCAGAAAGTGTCTGCCACTGGACATGCCTAAAATACAGCCTGCCACACTGGCTACCATAAGGTTGTTCCCAAACAAAAGTATTTTGATTAGAATCTCCTTTTGTCAGGTGCACCAATATGGCTGCAATCTTCTTTGTCTTGTTTCCCAGGGACGGTACTAGTTAGGGATATTCATGTCACAGAACCTGAAAATTTTTTTTTAAAAACGCGTACGTGATAATCTTGTATACTTTACATAAACACAGTTAAACAAACCTCTCAATACTTTGACCGACTTCCTTGTCATTCATTGGCCAGCATCTTACAATGACCTTGACACTCTATCCTGCTTTCTTTTTAGACTAAAGATGAAAAATAGGGACCTGTTATCTTTAGTGCCATTCCCTACCTGTGGCTGTACTCATCAAACAGTATGCCTACAAAATGTTGTAAAACGAAGAAAACATAGCCCTGCGAAGTTCGCAAATTTTGTACATATTTGTATTACGCGCGGTAAAAATATAACCACTTTCGGCTCAAAAATGGTTATTTTTCACGCGCGTAATGCAAATTAATATATACAAAATTTGTGAACTTCACAGGGCTATATTTTCCTCATTTTACAACCATTCGCAACCAAACTTTGCAATTTTACTCATTTTAAGATGCTGTTTCCAGCTATGATAATGGATTTCGTTCTTGTTTAGATCAAAATGTCGTCTATAACTGGAATAATCCATTAATGCTTTTAAATATTTGTTCAGTGAAAATGCTTAGGTGCCTGAAGAATTCATTCTTTTCAGCCAACTGATACCACGTCATTAACAGACAAACCCCTCTTATAACAAATACGTATTAGCAATCAAAATTTAATGGTTAGTCGCTGGTCCATGACTGTCTTTGGTATGGTTGGGGTTTGTCTGGGAATATTAATGATATGCGTTGTCGCGAACCCAGTCTGTGTTATCCTGAACAGTTCATTTGCTGAACAATCCCTCTCTCTGTCATGGAAGTACGCCAATGTAACACCACTACCAAAGACGAAACCTGTGACTGTAATTACCAAGCACATCAGACCTATCTCGCTAACTCCGTCTCTATCAAAACTAGCTGAGGACTTTATCGTAAGATATTATATTGACCCTGCCATCCTTGAGATCATTGATCCCAACCAATATGGCGCTATCTCAAAATAATCTACTACGCATGCCCTTATTTCCATGATTCATACATGGGCTTCTGCCACTGACGGGACAGGTGCAGCGGTAAGGATGGTGTTGCTAGTAACGAGTAGTGCTCTGAACGAGAGCAAAATGCCAAGTGTGTCAATGTCCTGTTTATGCGCATATTCTGGATATTTCAGTCTTATTTAATACAGCGGAATATAGAAGTGCATTCTGAGAGTTCTTGCAGTTATTCCAGTTAGTCAGTAACTCCTGGAGTTAGCCAGTAACTCCAGAATTCATATTTCAACTCTTGAATTACACATTTACACAAGTTACTCAAGTGTATATTTTGGTTTGGAGTTAGCCCTTTAGAGCTTGGAGGTAGCGTCGCTCCATAACTTCCTACTTTCTACAGGCATGGGTTCGAGTATGTGATATTTATAGGAACTAAGTCTAGTTGATATCAATGCAATCTAGTAATCATGATTTTTTTTGTGTTGGTGTCATGTACTCAGGTGAATATGATGTTGGTGATGTTACTCCGAGTGTATATCCACACCGGGCAAGCTTATAACAATTTGCAATGCAAATCATTTCCAAGCTATTGAAATTTCATGTATCAACATGAATCAAAATGTAAATCAAGATGGCGTTCAGGAGCAGTCACAAAAAATGCAACTAGTACAGGCCCTCTCACAGAAAGGTGCAACATTCTAAGTACCAACTGAGCTACAGAGTTCATTTACTGAATATTAGGGATGAGCCAATCGACAAAAATCAAATTTACTGATCTGATAAGTTCCAATCCAATGTAGGCTATGACCCGATCGACCAAGTTAACTGAGCGGTTACCGATATTTGTTAACAGGAATTCCACTGACACTCGAAATTGGGACAAAATGCTAGGAAAACAGAACAACAGTTAACAGACCAGTGACAGAAATGTCAATTTAGCAATCAATTTATTTTGGAAAAGTATCCTTTCCTTTGTGGAAAAGAATCTGTCTGGGAGACCAGTTTCTCTTGACAAAAAAAGAAATGAAAACTTCAGTTTTTCTTGACAAAAAAGAAAATATCACAGGTAAAATCAAAAATAATATTTATCGGACCGCTGATACATTCCGATATACGTGGATGTGATTGGCCAATAACCAATCCGCCCAAAAGTTGCTGATTATCAGCTTCGACCAATTAATTTCTGATTACCGGCTAATCCCTACTGAATATTAACCATAATTCATGTTTATATAATGGAGTGATACCAGTAAAAGGTACTGTATATGGATAAATATTGATAGTAGATCATGTTGTCATTCAAGTATTACGTCATTATGTAATGGGTCGTTCCAGAAAAGATCCATACTCCCCCCACAGAGGAAATTTCTGCCGTCCGGAGGGGGAGGGGAGAAAAAATTGTTTCTGATAATAGTAAATGTATTAGGAAAACCCGAAGGGGGTAGGGTTGTTAACTTCCTATTTCCTCCGTGGGGGTGGTATGGATGTTTTCTGGAATGACCCAATGTTGAACTATAATTGGGATTACATGAAGTTCTCAGTTTTATTCTCCGTGCTTGGATACTTCATTTACTTCGAAATGTGACTGTGAATCTATTCATATTTGTACAACAGAAATTATGTAACTTTACTTATTATTTTTGATCAATAAATACAAATATCAACAGATCGATGGGCTTTTGTAGACTAGATGGAATATTTAAACAGAAATTTCTATACATTTTTACACCTAACCAGCAGGGCCTTCTTTCAAAACTCTTTACCCTTCCAGCTTTCTCTCAACAGTGGGCTATTCCAATATGTGGGTTTCCGGTTTCCCGACCCTACCTAGCTTTTGGACGCCGAAATCCGGACCCTAAACTTTTTTATTGGATCATGCTTGTAATTGTTTCCACTTAGAGGAAAACGTTTGTGAAAAATGGAAATTTGAGGCAATATTAGGGAAATTTATCTTTGAATGTGGAAGCACTGACTAAACAAAATGGCGTCCGGTAATTAGGAAAATTAAAAAAGTTAAATAAAAAGTTAAAACCGACCTACCCTACCTAAATTTTTACAAGAAGAAATAGGAAACCCACATTTTTTTTTTTCCCTAAATATATATTATAGAACGCATCAAAATTGCGCGGAGAAGAACTTCCCTGCGCACAACAAAGATTCCAGTCGGGTACCACTCCTTCTGGAAATTCCATGTGAAAATTACTCCTCTCCTTGGAATTCCACAGCCTGAATGCCCCCTTCCCTGGAAATTCCAGGATTAATGCACCCCCTCCTCTGGAAATTCCAAGGTTAATGTACCCCCTCGGCCCCCGCCCCTCCCCTGGAAATTTGAAAGTTAATGCACCTCTCCCTTGGAAATTCCAAGGTTAATGCATCCTCTCCCCTGAAAATTCCAAGGTTACTCAACAGGGGGGCAGGGGTGCAGATAAAAATTGGAATAGCCCAATTTACAAACCAGTGAAAGCACTAGTGTCTACTAACCATTTTGTTGTCAAGAATTGATTTGATTTTGACAAGAATTACGAGTATTTCCACGATAAAAATCGCCAATATTCGTCGAGAATATATTGCAGATACCTTCCTTTAGCTTTCGCTTTTAAACAAGCCATCTCTCGCGTCGTGCTGGCTTGAAATTCAAAAAGAATGCATGAAAATTTGTGATATCAAGCCCGCCATTTTTTTAAGCAAAAATGAGATGTACCGCTGTCCAGAAGCAGGCTCTTTCACTCCAATGTTGTCATAGCAACAGTACGGGCGGACGTGAGGGGGGGGAGGTGAATGGGCGGGGGTGGGCGGTGGGGGGTGGGGATGCATTACAAATTTATTCAAAAATCGCCAATATTCGTCGAGAAATCCTAAGGCACTTTCCAAATTTGCTTGAGCCTGAGTGAATGAAAAAAGCTGTAAATACCTTTCAGATTGAATATTGTACAAATAATGAATGTTTTTATTCGTGCAATGGTAAGAATATTTTCATTCGGTGAAAGATGGAATGTTCCATTCAGCTCGGCTGTCGCCTCGTTGAATGGAACATTCCATCTTTCACCGAATGAAACTATTCTTATTTCTTACCATTGCACTCAAAAACATTAATTATTTGTATAATATTCAATCTAAAAACAAACAAAACTCGAGGAAACTATGGAAACTGATGAAAGATGCAGCGGACCTCAATATGAACAAAGCAACACCTAATAAGATACTTGATAACACCGATTTGATCACGAACCCTAAAAAAATCGCGAACATTTTCAACTCCCATTTCTCCCAAATTGCCAACACTGTTATCAAAGAATCTGCACATCACCAACCTAATTTCGATGCCTTGCGTAATTTTGTGGACACTCGACTTTGCAAAGACCACCAATTCACAATTCCGCCTATGACTGCTGAATATCTATTCAACGAGATCAACAACCTGTCATGTCACAAGGCAAAGGGAATTGATGCCATCAACGTCCATCTTCTTAAGATCGGCTGCAATGATCTCCTTCCATCGCTTCTGTACCTCTACAACTCCAGCATAACCTCAGGCATCTTTCCAGACCAGTGGAAAATTAGCAAAATTACGCCGATTTTTAAGAAGGGTTCACGCCAAGACAAAGATAACTATAGACCAATCTCTGTATTGTCAGTACTGTCAAAAATCGTGGAACGCTATTACGGATTACATCTCATAAGCTATCTTAACGAAAACAACTTACTTACAAGCTCACAATTTGGATCACGGCCCCTTCATTCCTGTGAAACAATGTTACTGCAACTTACAAACACGTTACTTCATAGCATGGACAAAGGTGAACTAAGTGGAATACTCCTAGTAGATTTCCGGAAAGCTTTTGACCTGATAAACCATGAACTTCTCCTACAGAAACTTGCTATCTACGGACTTAAAGACGAAACACTACAATGGTTCAGATCCTACCTGACAGAACGGAAACAACTCGTCTCAATTGCCCACTCAACCTCAGATCTCTTACCAGTTCGCAGTGGCGTCCCGCAAGGTTCATCTCTTGGGCCTCTCCTCTTCATCCTGTTTATCAATGACATCCCTCTTGCAAATACTCAATGCAATACCTATATCTATGTTGATGAAACTACTTTAGCCAATTCTGGACCAACAATCAATACGGTACGAACACACTTGCAATCTGGAGCTGACAACCTCGCTACCTGGGCATCTGAGAATAGAATGGCAATACATCCTGACAAGACCAAAGTTTTGCTAGTTGGAACGAAGAGAAAACTCGTGACCATATCTGAGCCTCTTAACATCTCCATTTGTGGCACCACCCTATCCCAATCATCTTCCGGAAAACTTCTTGGAATACACATGGATGATTGCCTAAGTTGGAATGAACACATCTCTGCTGTTATAAAGAAATTCAATACCAAACTAGAACTAGTTAAACGTGCTAAACCTTACTTAACACCTGAACTTTTACTTGTCTTATACAACAGTTTGGCCAAGCCTACTCTAGAATATTGCTGCAGTGTGTGGGGTAACTGTTCTGGGGATGCGCTTAGTCAATTAACCTCCGCCCAAAAAAGAGCTGCAAGAATTCTCGTGAACGCGGACTACACTACTCATAGATATCTCATATGAGATATCTATGACACTACTCCATCCTTAACTTTGTTCCAACACCTTCAAATCATCCCTATAGTCGATACCATCCGCCATCGCATCCTTCTACAAACCTTCAACTGTTTCCACAAAATTAGCCCACCTTACCTCAGCACGCTTGTAGAAAAGCCGAAACACCACCACTCTACAAGGGCAGTAGAAAACAATAACCTGTTTCTCCCCAAAGCCAGGACCAACGCAGGGAAACGCAGGTTTTCGTTTCTGGCTCCTTCCTTGTGGAACAAATTTCCAGATGTGGGAAAAAAACTTACCACAACACGCGGGTTTAGATCGTTCTGTAAAGAACACTTAAGAACAAACTGGCTAAGATGACTGAATTGAACACAAAAAGATTATATTATTAATATAAAAACTTTAATACTGTTGATAGTTATAGATTGTTAATGTAGTGCGATTGTGATGTATCTGTGTATGTTGTGTGTTTGTGGCGCATCCGTGACTTTATATCCTACGCGGTTTCTAAAGAATGTTAACTGCATGAGTATTGTAACCACGTGATGTAATATATTTCCAGAACTTAAGAGGACCAGATTGGAAACAAGCTGTACTGTAGCTTTATCTGTAAATCCTCGTTAAATAAAGTGTTATTATTATTATTATTACTAAAAGGTATTTACAGCTTTTTTATTCACTCAAGCTCAAGTAAATTTGGAAGTGCCTTCGGTTTTGAGTTTAAACGAGTTCTATTGGAAAAGCTTTCCCTTAAAACAGGACTGCTTTTAATTTTTTCTCAGAAAACTTTAATACTGTTGATAGTTATAGATTGTTAATGTAGTGCGATTGTGATGTATCTGTGTATGTTGTGTGTTTGTGGCGCATCCGTGACTGTATATCCTACGTTTCTAAAGAATGTTAACTGCATGAGTATTGTAACCACGTGATGTAATATATTTCCAGAACTTAAGAGGACCAGATTGGAAACAAGCTGTACTGTAGCTTTATCTGTAAATCCTCGTTAAATAAAGTGTTATTATTATTATTATTACTAAAAGGTATTTACAGCTTTTTTATTCACTCAAGCTCAAGTAAATTTGGAAGTGCCTTCGGTTTTGAGTTTAAACGAGTTCTATTGGAAAAGCTTTCCCTTAAAACAGGACTGCTTTTAATTTTTTCTCAGACTCAAATACAAGCATCACTGATCTCGAAAACTATAGGGCTGGATAGAGTTATCTTTTGAATTCAACCAGCCAATTTTGAAGCCAGAAATGGCAGAATATTTACAAGATGAGATTTTAAACGTTTTTAAATTAGCTACATCATAGGCAGCCCAATGTTATGGTTGCTTGCCTGCACGCGGGCGAGGCATTGTATAGTTGTATTATTTCCATAACATTGGGCTGCCTATGGCTACATGCCTACATCAGCAAGCAAATGTCTTTTCCTATGAAACTTTTGAAAGATATAGCTTCCCATACTCTTCTAGCGAGTTTTAGAACCTTTTAAATACTAGATGATGAGACTTGCGCCAGCAATCTTGGTTTGAACTCATCAGGGGAAACAGGCCAGGGTTAAAAAATTTCTTTTCGGACAATGTTTATATCCTTTCCCACTGATAACTAGAAACGGTAAAAATCACCAACACCGCACTAGGCCTGTCCACAAGTTGCTCAAAATTTCGAAAAAAGTTGTTCAAAAAATCATAAAAAGTTGCTCGAAAAAGTCTCTTTTTTTATAAAAGTCGCTAGTTTTTAAAGCGAGTTGCCCAAGGTTGCTGGCTCAGTTGCTGTTTGATTTTGTATTCGTGGTGTTTGCAACGTGGGATAAAGTGTTTTAAAATTCTCACATTAGCTTGAACTAGTGTCACTTTCGCCGGGGCGTCGCTACACCTCTTTCAATGGGGGCTCCCCACTGAATTTTGCCGGGTGACAACAACCGCTAATTCAATATTTCTTTTCCCAAAAATGTTGGCGAGCGGGAGAGGGGGGTGGGAGGTCGTAAAATATTTTCCGGACATACAAAAATTTAATTTACCGGACATTACATAATTTTTCCCAATATACAAAAAATTTTCCCGACATATCGTGCTTTCTTAACTTTTCCCGTCATTTTTCGTACATTTTGTAACATTTTTGCTATAACTATTACTTTTCATTCCGAGCCACGATAACAATTTCCCCATAAATCTGAAACCAATTTGCTTAGTTTAGCAGACATTTGCCGAATCTGTGATGAATGGGGGTGTGTTACACCCCTCACACTCCCCTCTAGCTACAAACCCTTGACTGTGCCGGTCAAATATGTAATGCATTAAAAAACACCCCAGTGGTTCTAAGTTGGCTCGTGCTGATGTATTAAATGTCGTATAAATTATGTGATAGAGAACTCTTTCAAGTTGTGTCAATATTGATCAGTGGCGCACTGCCAACAAGCCGAAGCGGGACAGTTTAAATGTGATCAGCCAGGGGATCAGCCAATCAGAGAATAGTTAATAGTTGCGTGTAACGTCATGTTTCCGTTTTCAAGGCCGCCATTTTTTATGCAAAATGAGATATACCGCTGTGCAGAAGCAGGCGCTTTATAAACTCCCATGTCGTCATGGCAACGGTAGCTGCGGGGGGGGGGAGCTTATAAATTAACTGAAATGACAAATCAAGGGGGAGTTCATGTATGTATTTAAGCATTACAAATTTATTCAAATTTTAAATTTCTACAAAAATTGAGTAAACTTGCTACTACAAAGTAATATTTTTAGAGCTGCACAAATTTATTCACAACTACTCAACACTTGAGATCTGTGCACGTATTAAACAACAAAAAAGTACTTTCTTCATTTAGATTCAACCAAATAAAATCATATTGGCAATAAATTATGACTATGTTCTACATTTTTTCTTAAAACTCATCTTATTCCACTTCAAAACTTATTTTTAAAACTTACTTACAACCTGGCTCCCAGGGCCAAAACCTTATGGTTTCTAGAAAATTCCTAACCCTATTCTTGTAAATATTTTCTATTATTGATTGTAAATTGATGTTTAGATTTGACTGCCGCTACCATTAACCAATCAAATGCGTTCAATCTACCCGATTAACCAATCAGATGCGTTCAATCTACCCGATTAACCAATCAAATGCGTAATGTAAGTCAGTCAGTGTAATGAATATAACTGGAACTACCTTCAGATAATCTGACCCGGTCAATTATTAATCTTTGACTCTGTTATCAATGTTAATATATGGGTCACACCTCCTGTATCCAGCAAGCACTTTTGTAAATAGTTTTTTCTTCGTTTCTATTTATTCTCTTGTAAATATTAATACTTTATATATAAAATGACGACGCCCCTCATGAAAACCAACTTATGTTGATGAGGTTAGCGTCATGAAATAATTTTTTACGATACGTATTACTACGTATATTTTACGGTGTAGTATTTTACGGTGAGTATCTCGCGAGACCAGTTCAGGGCAGCGGGCATGCCGTTTCAATAAGGAAAAAAACTAAAGTAAAGTCTACTAGGAAGTATTACCTCAATAAATGCATTAATAGAAAGTTTTCAGCGCTGTTAAAAACCTTTTTTGTAAATTTTAAGCCAGTTTTCAAAAATTCGTATTCATGTTGACGGATTGACCGCGCTCTTCGCATGCATGAAAAGACTGGGACTGGCTTTCAAGTTTGGCTTCAAATTTCCGTTGGGAAGTAGCGTTCCAGTTATATTCATTTCATCGGTGAGAGGTAGCGGTAGTCAAATCTGAAGTCTGAACCAGGCGCCGCAGAACCAGGAGAGGAAACTCAGATTGTACAATAAATAACTAAATACAACGGGCTGAAAGTTCTGCGAGTCTTGGACTGGTCTAAGATTAGACTTCTGTTTCGCGTTTGCTTAGATCCAGCTCCGTATTGTCTGGTAAGCTTCTTCCCATTTTGATGTCTTGGTACGACTCTCTTCTCTCGTGAGCTGGTATAACATAATCTGAATCTTGCTTTACTAGTTTCTGATAGGTACCGTCTTCCGTTGTATTTCTGCCGTGTACTCTGTTCACATCAAGCTCAGTATAAATATGATTTTCTGGCGATAATTTGGGCTCTTCATAGGTTTCATTTTGACCTGGTGTTTCGTGTTGTGCTTCCTCTGGAACCGGTATTACGTATTCGTCACCCTCCTTTAAAAATGCCTGATAATCACCATCGCCTGTCACCCCCGTTTTCAAGGTATCGGGTCGTTTATTAAGTTCAGTGTGTCCAGAAAACTTGTGTGCATTTGATGGCTCTCCAACCACTTCGTGATCTGATGCCCTGCCTTATAAAACAAAAGATTATAAGCCCTGGTCAAACGACAGAGTTAATAAGAGTTGGCCAGTGAGAGTCTGCAGTGAGAACAACAATTGTATGAGAGTTGACTGGATATTACAGCACGTAGCGAGAACTCTCATCAACTTTCATCAAAATTTGAACCAGCTGAAAAATGAGAGTTAACTGGATATTGCCAAGCACGACAAAAACTCTTATGAACTCTACTCAAAATTTGAACCAGCTGAACACTGATTCTCTCGTTAACTGGATATTACTAAGCACAACAAAAACTCTCATGAACTCTACTCAAAATTTGAACAAGCTGAACACTGATGAGAGTTAACTGCATATTACCAAGCGCAGCAAAAACTCTCATGAACTCTACTCAAAATTTGAACAAGCTGAACACTGATGAGAGTTAACTGGATATTACCAAGCGCAACAAAAACTCTCATGAACTCTACTCAAAATTTGAACCAGCTCAACACTGATGAGAGTTAACTGGATATTACCAATCACAACAAAAACTCTCAGGAACTCTACTCAAAATTTGAACCAGCTGAACACTGATGAGAGTTAACTGGATATTACCAAGCGTAACAAAAACTCTCAGGAACTCTACTCAAAATTTGAACCGAATCGTAAAGTGATGCCAAGCCTTTAAACAAAAGACGATTATAAAGCCCTGGTGAAACGAGATTTTTCTCAACTATCGTGCCCCGATCAAACGAGAACAAGAACTGACAGTTGACGAGATTTAACTGAATATTAGCGCACGTATATAGCAAAAACTCTCATCAAAATTTGAACCAGTTCAAAGTTGAAAAGTTGGTGGTCATAGGCGGGCGACCACTGGCAGAAATTCACATTTTCCGGTGAAGGGCAAAGCCTCCTAAATTTCCGACAAAACTTTCAAATTTCCGACATACTACCGCCCCCCCCCCTATTTGCATTAGAAAAGACTGTTTTTAGCCCCCTATTAGGTCAAAATTTCCGAAAATTCGTCCCCCCCACCACCAAGATTTCCGCCACTGCGGGCGACAGTTGCAACCCTCACTATTATTTAGCAAGTGTCAAAGCTCAATTTTCCTGTTTGCTGAATGGTCAAAACCATATCACGTGCTGGTCCACGAAACGTCATGTTCACTGCGTGCTTAATTTGGCGAAGGGGCAACCGGTCAACAATTATTGACCGGTCAATAATAAAATCGAAAGTGGGGCGCGATCTGTTCGCGTCAACCAGCAAGTTTAAGCAAAGTTTTCTCAAGAGTTTCAGCATGTCTGCTGCTCTGGACTGGACTTAAATCCCTAATTTTCTGGGGGTTTTTCTCTGTTTACTTCGTCGTCGAGAAATCGAGTTTTCGTTCGCGCATCGCAGGCTCAGGGTGCAACGATTAAGCCAAAATGCCATCGATTCCTCGTATTTATGTACGTAATAGCCGGCTCATGCTATGCTTCTGGTACATTTTTTCGTTTATTAGCCCATAGACATGTACGCACGCGCACAATTCCGAACTCCAAGGGTAAAGTGCTCCAGTAACATATTCAGTCCAGTTTTAAAATGGCGGCTTTTCACTCACTGAGTGTCAGAGTGATCAAAATATATTTCACACAGTTTCGCTGAATTTTCAAAGAATTGTGCCGGTTTCCTATGGATTTTACGTTGTGTCCAGGTTGTGTCGTACTCTGAACTTTCTTGCGTGTTGAATTAATGTGTTTTTCTTTGTGTAACGACTCGAAAACTCCAAAATTTGGACCTAGTAAATTTATACAATATAGTGGTACGTATTAGTGGAATATAAACAAGGGACAAGTTAAAGGTTTGATAGTTTGACTTTTTAATAAACAACTATAAATGTACGTTGTTGACTCATAAACATCCGTTGTGTACTTGTGTTCATTTTTGCGTCGCACTCTGACTTTCCTGCGTTTTGAATTAATGTTTTTCTATTAAACGACTCGAAAACCCCAATATTTGGACCCAGTGAATTTATACAATATTGTGGAATATACACAAGGACAATTAAGTTAAAGGTTTGACAGTTTAACTAAACATAGTAGTTTTAATTAAACAAAATCTCCTAATACATTGAGACGCGGACTTTAACTGATGTTACATACACGAAAACGAGGCTCTATAGCCAAAGTGACGTACTTTCCGGAAGGGTGTATTCCTTACGATAGTTTTAGTCAAATGTCGACAATATACCTTACATGTATTAAAAATTCGCGCTGTATTAGAATTCGCGCAGCGCTGAGTGCGCAAATTTTAGTACTGCGCGAAATATAATCCGCGCCAAAAGCTTTGTGGTAGCTATAGTAAAGATAAAGCGTGCGTTCAAAATACCAACAAGAACTAAAACATTTATTGTATGGTTCTCATTTGCCTAATACAATAACATTAGTTCGGCGGGAATTTTAAGGTATGGTATCATATTTCATAATATAACGAACAATGTAAACTAGCAATACATTTTGCCGAACATAACTTCGACCCCTTTGGACATATCTTTTTCGTATTAGTATTATTGGAACCAGAATCCAAAACTGTGTTTATAGTATTTTAAGATGTATTTCGCTCACATTGACTCTGAGCAAATTTTGACGGCGTTTGACCCCCCCAGGATTACAATGGTGCTTTTCGTTTTAAAGGGTGGTAAATTCTCGGTGAGATATTTACAATTAATAGCAACAATAAAAATTGTAAAAAGGAAAAATTTTGAATCGGGGCGTGACGAGAAATTAACCCATTCACTGGCAGTACTCTACCCACTGATGAGTACAATTGTCTGGCGTTGATCGATAGACAGTAAATACTAAAGCAGGGTGCATTGCCTGTTAATTAATGGGTTAATAACTAGAGACATTGGCAGATGTGTTCGTTAACCCATTTACTGACAGGACTCTAACACTGACACTCACAAGTAAAATCGTCTGGCGTTACAGTGTAAATTGGTCTGGCGTTAGTCAAAGTACTAAAGTAGTGTGCATTGCCAGCTAATAGATTGATACTTAATAAACCTTAATATCCACTTTTGACCCAATGGCTTCATTTTCATGTTGGCTATTTACTCGTATTCCGTGAACACAATTTAAGAATAAGTTTGTGATTGGTTTTAAATGATGAACGAGGAACAAATTTGTGCAGGAAACCTAGGGAATATAACCTTCATGTGCAGGCCTGTCCTGCTACCAATGATGAAACGTAGAAATGAGGCCATTGGGTCAAAAGAAAACTTCCCTTTAAATAATTGTCTAGAAGTATAAACTTTTGCATTCAGTTCATGTGCCAAAAAGACAGCACTTTCCTTGCGATAATAACTCCTAGTTATGTTTTGCACCATAGGTCTCCCGAAAAGCTCTTTTATTTAAAAAAATCCATACAATTTTCTTGAGGTTTAAGACTTGTATTCTTGCCTTTTGCACCATAGCACGTATATGTCGTCATTTCAGGTCAGTGTGAACGCCTGAGCAGGGGACTTTTTACAGTTTCGAAATACCAGGTGAATTATTGAGAATTTGACACTTGCTATGTAGTAAAGCACTTATTAGTAGAAACCTCGAGAAAACAGCGTGTTTTGTGGGCCCTCGACCGCCGTTTTTGCCCAAGCGAAGTAAATAAGTGATAATTACCTCTTAACTTCGTTCAACAGTGACACGGCCGTACGGGAAGGAAAAAATTAGGGGGGGGGGAAGAACTTTGCCCGACTTTTTCGGATTGTGCCCGAGTTGTCAAAAAAATTTTCCGGAGAAATTTTCCAAAATTGTTGTCGACGGAAGGAGTGATTACGAAAAATTCCTGTTAGATAGCACATTTCTCACAAAATTGACAGAATTTGTCCCATTTATTTTTATAATAAGCCAATATTGCCCGACTGTGAAGCGAATATTGCCCGACTGGCTTTGTTTGCCCAACAAACTGGGGGGGGGGGGGCTACTGCCCCCCTCGCCCGGTACGCCCATGAACAGTGAAAACAGTTATCACCATTGCTTTCTTTTCAACGCATATTACATTGTCTTAGAATGAAGAAATATTGCACATATCAAGGTTAGTGGGATTTTCAACATATTACTGACCTTCAGATGATTGGTCTTTACTGTTGTTTCCACTTGTGCTGGCGTTATCGTAAAACTCTGCGATAGTTTCGTAAAGTGGTTCCTGTTTTTTATAAGAAGGATTATGATTTATTTAATGACGATTACACACAGGGTGTGGTTGGCCAGTTCACCCGAGCCAGAGGCACACGATATACGTGCTTGACAATTAGTTTCTAAAAGTTGTCATTTTATAAAGGAGAAAAACTGGAGAAAGAAAAACCCCCGAAGTTCGAGTACAAACTAAAGTAACTTTACTCATATTAGATAGCTCTACCAGTTGCATAGGTTCAGTGAGGCCCATCTGTTATTCGTCCAGTGTTACTACAGGAGGAAACCTAAACTAAATCTATGTTCACATTGGATACTCTATCAGTTCGAAACTGATCTTCTTAGAGGTACAGTAAGAGTCATCTCTTATTAATCCAGTATCATACTACAGAAAGAAATCTAAACTAAACCTAACTTTATTTGCATTAATTGGATAGCACTATCAGTTCGAAACTGTTCTGCCCAAAGGCCCATATATAATAACCATTCACTGTGTCACCAACACGACTGTGACCATAAATAATTCACCTCATCAACTGGCAATGATTGTGGTAAAATTTCCAATGGAAAATTGTCAGGCGTTGATAATTTTGAAGCCCGTCGTTTGTTCTGTCGTTTGTATTTTACCAATAAGACGTTAAGCACGATGCTAAGAAATACGCCAGCAGCTACTATTGTCGCTGTGATAATGATTTTGCTAGAATCATCCGTTCTTCCCTCGACTGAATAAAAACAAGATTTAATGCTTATTTACATACGGTAAATTTAATCCAAATTGATTATATGTACTATTTAAAACACGAGCAGCAGTGTTTTAGAGGCGCAGCCGAGCGTTTTAGATATGATAAAACGCGAGTTCGAGTGTTTTGTATAGCTTAAAATACGACTACAAAAGAATACTAATTAGGATGAACAATTATATAATCATACTAATTAGGATGAAGAATTATATAAAGAATACTAATGAAGATGAATTTTATCAGATATAAAGTCACTCCACGTGACATATCATGGCTGACATGATTTGCCACAAGGTTTATGAATTTTTAATTTTTAATGCTTATTTTAAGTGAATAAAAAGTATGAAAAATTTATGTTATTATTTAATGGTGAAGGTTGAGGATCGGGTATCGTTGCTTGATGGGCGACCCTGATCTCACTTAATTAATGTATATATTTGAAAACTGATTTAAGTAGAGTTGTGGTTAGTCATCTTGCTGTGCTTCGAGGTTTTCTCCAGGAACTCTGGTTTTCAAAAGTTAAACCTTTTATCTTAACCCGGCCACCTTGGACAGCCAGAGCCTCCGACATTTCCCACTCTGTTTTGTAAAAGATTGAGCCTCTCACATCGATCATGCTTGAGGTGTTTCCTACAATCAAGGATGATTAGCACCCCCCCCCTAATTAGACAAAAACATCACTTGCCTTCAGAGCTAGTTTGAGATGGTGAAATTGTAGGTGTTGTGGAAACTGTAAATGCTGTTGTCACCTTTTTACTTCCAGTGTGATTTACCGTCTGTTTACTACCTAAAATCGTAAAAATGTTATAACTTATACGTGGCACTAAAGAATGAGCTAGGAAGAACCCCAGGTTTTCCAATCTGTTTTGTAAAAGAATGAGCCTCCCACATCGGTCATGCTTGAGGTGTTTCCTACAATCAAGGATGATTAGCACCCCCTCCTCACCCCGCCCCCCAACCCTAATTAGACAAAAACATCACTTGCCTTCAGAGCTAGTTTGAGATGGTGAAATTGCAGGTGTTGTGGAAACTGTAAATGTTGTTGTCACCTTTTTACTTCCATCTAAAATTGTAAAAATATGTTATAACCTGTACGTGGCACCAAAGGATGACCTAGGAAGGATTCCAGGTTTCCCACTCTGTTTTGTCACAAACTCCAACCTGTGTGCTCCACATCTTCAGTGCGTCACAAGGAATTCTCTATTTAAAAACTATTTAAAACACGAGCAGCAGTGTTTTATCAGATATAAAGATACGAGGCAAAGCGGAGTATCTTTAGGTCTGATAAAACACGCACTGCGATTGTTTTAAATTGCTTAAAAAAGATCGATCTAGTAAGTTCATTTGCGAAGTAATTTTCAAAAAATACGTTGTGTAAGTCAAAACATTCAAAGTTAAAGTTTATGTAAATCAAGGGAAATCTCTATCGCATATAAAGATAAGACACGCTTATGATTTTCCTTTGTGTTTTCCTCATGAATTAATGAGTTTTTGACGTGAATAAAAAGTATGAAAAAGCAAGTTATTTAAACCTGCTGGTGAAGGATGAGGATCGGGTATTGTTGCTTGATGGGCGACCCTGATCTCACTTAATTAATGTATTTGAAAACTGATTTGACTGGAGTTGTGGTTAGTTCTCTGCTGTGCTTCGAGGATTTCTCCAGGAACTCTGGATTTTAAAATCAGTCAACCATTTTATCTTAACCTGGCCACCTTGGACAGCTGGAGCCTCCGACGTTGGTCATGCAAAGATGATTACCCCCACCTTTCACTACACAAAACAAACCACATCACAAATACTATACATAACTTCACCATACGCTACTAAACAACTACACAACAACGTAAAAACTGTATACATTATTTGTACATTACATCGCTATGTAATTAGACAAAAACCTCACTTGCCTTTAAAGCTAGTTGGAGGTATTGAAATTGCAGGTGTCGTAAACACTGTAAATGTTGTTGTCACCTTTTTACTTCCAGTGTGATTTACCGTCTGTTTACGACCTAAAATCGTAAAAATGTTATAACTTATACGTGGCACCAAAGAATGAGCTAGGAAGAACCCCAGGTTTCCCACTCTGTTTTGTCAAAGATTGAGCCTCCCACATCGGTCATGCTTGAGGTGTTTCCTACAATCAAGGATGATTAGCACCCCCTCCTCACCCCCTCACCCCACCTTAATTAGACAAAAACATCACTTGCCTTCAGAGCTAGTTTGAGATGGTGAAATTGCAGGTGTTGTGGAAACTGTAAATGTCGTTGTCACCTTTTTACTTCCATCTAAAATTGTAAAAATATGTTATAACCTATACGTGGCACCAAAGGATGGCCTAGGAAGGATTCCAGGTTTCCCACTCTGTTTTGTCACAAACTCCAACCTGTGGGTTCCACATCTTCAGTGCGTCACAAGGAATTCTCTATTTAAAAACTATTTAAAACACGAGCAGCAGTGTTTTAGATATAAAGATACGAGGCGAAGTATCTTTAGATCTGATAAAACACGCACTGCGAATGTTTTAAATTGCTTAAAAAAGATCGATCTAGTACGTTCATTTGCGAAGTAATTTTCAAAAAATACGTTGTGTAAGTCAAACATTCAAAATTAAAGTTTATGTAAATCAAGGGAAATCTCTATCGCATATAAAGATAACACGTTTATGATTTTCCTTTGTGTTTTCCTCATGAATTAATGAGTTTTTGAAGTGAATAAAAAGTATAAAAAAGTAAGTTATTTAAACCTGCTGGTGAGAGGACAGGGTATTGTTGCTTGATGGGCGACCCTGATCTCACTTAATTAATGTATTTGAAAACTGATTTGAGTGGAGATGTGGTTAGTTCTCTGCTGTGCTTCGAGGGTTTCTGCAGGTACTCTGGATTTCAAAATTTAACCATTTTATCTTAACCTGGCCACCTTGGACAGCTGGAGCCTCCGACGTTGGTCAGCAAGATGATTACCCCCACCTTTCACTACACAAAACAAACTACATCACAAACACTATACATAACTTCACCATACGCTACTAAACAACTACACAACAACGTAAAAACTGTATACCTTACTTGTACATTACATCGCTATGTAATTAGACAAAAACCTCACTTGCCTTTAAAGCTAGTTGGAGGTATTGAAATTGCAGGTGTCGTAAAGATTGTAAATGTTGTTGTCACCTTTTTACTTCCAGTGTGATTTACCGTCTGTTTACTACCTAAAATCGTAAAAATGTTATAACTTATACGTGACACTAAAGAATGAGCTAGGAAGAACCCCAGGTTTTCCAATCTGTTTTGTCAAAGATTGAGCCTCCCACATCGGTCATGCTTGAGGTGTTTCCTACAATCAAGGATGATTAGCACCCCCTCCTCACCCCGCCCCCCAACCCTAATTAGACAAAAACATCACTTGCCTTCAGAGCTAGTTTGAGATGGTGAAATTGCAGGTGTTGTGGAAACTGTAAATGTTGTTGTCACCTTTTTACTTCCATCTAAAATTGTAAAAATATGTTAGAACCTATATATACGTGGCACCAAAGGATGGCCTAGGAAGGATTCCAGGTTTCCCACTCTGTTTTGTCACAAACTCCAACCTGTGGGTTCCACATCTTCAGTGCGTCACAAGGAATTCTCTATTTAAAAACTATTTAAAACACGAGCAGCAGTGTTTTAGATATAAAGATACGAGGCGAAGTATCTTTAGATCTGATAAAACACGCACTGCGAATGTTTTAAATTGCTTCAGAAAGATCGATCTAGTAAGTTCATTTGCGAAGTAATTTTCAAAAAATACGTTGTGTAAGTCAAAACATTCAAAGTTAAAGTTTATGTAAATCAAGGGAAATCTCTATCGCATATAAAGATAAGACACGCTTATGATTTTTCTTTGTGTTTTCCTCATGAATTATTAATGAGTTTTTGAAGTGAATAAAAAGTATGAAAAAGTAAGTTATTTAAGCCTGTTGGTGAAGGTTGAGGATCGGGTATTGTTGCTTGATGGGCGACCCTGTCGTAGAGACTGTAAATGTTCATGTCGTCACCTTTTTACTTCCATTGTGATTTACCGTCGTTTTACTAACTAAAATCGTAAAAATGTTATAACCTATACGTGGCATTAAAGAATGAGCTAGGAAGAACCCCAGGTTTTCCACTCTGTTTTGTCAAAGATTGAGCCTCCCACATCGGTCATGCTTTAGGTGTTTCCTACAATCAAGGATGATTAGCACCCCCCCTCCCCCCCCCTCACCTTAATTAGACAAAAACATCACTTGCCTTCAGAGCTAGTTTGAGATGGTGAAATTGCAGGTGTTGTGGAAACTGTAAATGTTGTTGTCACCTTTTTACTTCCATCTAAAATTGTAAAAATATGTTAGAACCTATACGTGGCATTAAAGGATGAGCTAGGAAAAACCGCAGGTTTTCCACTCAGTTTTGTCAAAGATTGAGAGCCTCCCACATCGGTCATGCTAGCTTGAGGTGTTTCCTACAATCAAGGATGATAATAGCACCCTCCTCCTTCTTA